TGTGGAGTCGTTATCTAAACTATTAAAGTGGCTAATTAGTGATCTTTTTAAAATTACTCAGACTGATTGAGTAGAGATATCATCTGTGCACATGGAAATAAATGGAGGTCTTGGAATTAAATCAAAACACTTAGACATTACAGAGTATTTACAAGGTCTTAAAAAGTCTTACATTTTCTTTAATATAAAATTATTAGGGCTGGAAATGTCCTAAATCTACTGAAATGTTGTGTTGTAGGTCTTAAATCTTTTTTAACAGGTCTTACTTTTTATAGATACCTGATCTGGCCATTAGCAACTATAAAATCACCAACAATCCATTTCAATAAAACCTAACTATTTACACAGCTTTTAGTTACTTTCCATACAGTAACATTTGTTTTAAAGTTCTCTATTTGTTTATTGTTGAGGATACTGACCTCACCTTTATTTTTTTAATAAAAAAATATATATAATTATTATATTATTATTAATTCATTTATTCGTTTTCTTTTCGGCTTAGTCCTTTTATTAATCTGGGGTCGCCACAGTGGAATTAACCGCCAACTTATCCAGCACGTTTTTACACAGTGCATGCCCTTCCAGCCACAACCCTTCTCTGGGAAACATCCACACATACTCATTTACACTCATACACTACGCACAATTTACCCTACCTAGTTCACCTGTACAGCGTGTCTTTGGACTGTGGAGGAAACTGAAGGACCCGGAGGAAACCCACAAGAATGCAGAGAGAACATGCAAACTCCTCACAGTAACGCCAACTGACCCAGCCGAGGCTCGAACCAGCAACCTTCTTGCTGTGAGGCGACAGCACTACCCACTGTGCCACTGCGTTGCCTATTATATTATTAAATGTATGTAATTATAATTATGCATTTTTTCCAACTCGGATATTCGGATATAACTTACAATAATGGGTCAAAAAGTTGTAGCCTAAATTTATGTTTGGGAAAAAGTCAAGAGAAACAATATATATATATAAAATTTCTTTAAATTGATGTAGTTTGTAATTTATTGTTCAATGTTTCACGTGAATTTAAATGTATCATCTTTTTATTTCTAAATTTTTGGTGTCTAAAATATAATAAATTATATTAATTTTATAATCTGTTTACTAAATATATGTTTAAATGTAACTAAATACATTATCTATATTCACTGACAAATGGATAGATTTATTTTCAAAATTGGGTGTATTCATTTATGCTGAGCTCTGGATCAAATTTTTTTTATTTATTATTTATTTTTTTACCAGTAGTGTTTCAGAAAAAGAAATGTGTAGCCTATGTAATTTGCCTGTTATGTCATTTTTTTGTTTGTTTTGTTTTTTTAATTTTAATAGAAAAAATTCTGCAAAATCAAAACAAATTATGCAATTCATAAAGTGTGAAAAAATCCAATGTAACTTATTGTTTTTCACTCATTGAACTTTATTGTTACACTAACTGAAGTTTAAAAAATCTGTTTCTCTTTATTCATTCATTAATTCCTTTTCTTTTCAGCTTAGTCTCTTTATTAATCTGGGGTCACCACAGCAGAATGAACCGCCAACTTATCCATCATATGTTTTACGCAGCGGATGCCCTTCCAGCTACAACCCATCTCTGGGAAATTTCTCTTTATTATTTTAATTTAAAATTAAGTTCTAAATATTTATCACTAACTATTATAAGCACTTAACATTGTGTTTTACTCCTTGAATGACTTTCAAATTTGTCCACACAGTCCATGCCACATTATTACACTATTTGTGTTCTCTGACAAGGGCGATGATGGTATGGAAATATCTGGAAGGATTAGTCCTACAGATTTATGTCATTCCATTTGCAGCAAAATCCTGCACTCAAAGGTCACATCAATAAGTCTTTATTTCAACCACATGCTCCATTAATCATTCAAACTCACGTCTGTCATCACAGAGGACTAATGTGCTGCCTATAGATCTGCTCTGCCTTGAGGGTCACCCTTTCTCTTTAAAAAGTGTCATTGATTACATTGCTTTCACACCAAAATGTGTGAATGTGTGGCATCCAATCTCAGTTTGCATCGGGCTCTTTTGAAAATCAAGGTGACATTATTCAAATACTGTATAATGCAATTCTTTATAATCATATGTGGGGACATTTTAACAATGATAAAAGTTAATTGCAACTGTTTTTTGTAATTTAAAAAGGGTCACAATTGTGAGATGAAGTTGCACTTTTTTGTTATTTGCATGTTTCCAACATAATTATAAATCAAGATGTAAACTTTGAATAAACTTTCTGACTTTTGCTTCTTATAATTTTGCAATGTTATTTCTTGCAATTGAGTTTACTGTTTTTTCTTTCAAATCTTACTTTATATCTTGCAGTTCAGACATTTGCTTTACCTTTAGTCTGATTTTATAATTCACAAATATAACATGTATATAAAAATCATGTTAAGAATAAAATTGATATATAAACTAAATAAGAAGTTCAGTCTGCAATTGTTTGTTTTAAAGTTCAAGTTGTAATCAAGCTGATATCTTGCAAGAATGAATGTACACACGCATGCACACACAAACACAAAAGTAAGTAATGTAGGCAAGGTAACAAGCAAGTAATCACAGCACTGCTAATATTCAGTACAACAGAATTAATGTCCATCCTTTTAAAAAACAAATATTGCACACACTAATCTTTCTGTTTAGTTGTTGTTATTCCTATATGCATTCAATTCCCAGCAAAGTGACAGGAGTGTAGCTGCGTTTCAGAATTTGTGTATTTCAATCAATTGGTTGAATTGATGAATGATTCCGTATTTTTCAATGAATCAGCGAGTATTGAAACATTTGCCATACCTACAAGAAGTGTCAGTGAAATTCACCAGCATGTTTAATGGATTGTGCAGTATACAGTACTCAGCATAAATGAGTACAGCCAATAACATGCTTTACAATAAGACTTGTGCACATTAGATTAGTCTGTACCAAAGCCAAAACTGGAACTAAACTAACAAAAACAAAAAACAATGTAAGATCACAGTCCAAAAATGAGTACAGCCAAATGAATATGTAAAATATTGAATTAAATGTTAATAAACAAAAAAATCATGTAAAAATCAATAAAATCATGAGAAACTTAAAAAATATATACAATTTTGTTGAAGTTTGTAATTTCTTTGGAATAACCCATTAGAATTTAAATCTGTTATCTTTCTATTTCTAAAGATTATAATCTTAGTGGATATAACAGTTTAAAAAGCTTGTTTGTTCAAATGCACCAGCATATATATTTTTACTTAGAAAAAGATCAAATTTTCATTTTCAAAAGGGGTGTTTCACATGTCTTTTGATCCTCAACTCGTTTGTTTATTACACAAATGAGGGTTGATATGAATAATCACTAAACACCGCGTTTTGACACCTATTTGACCATTAAAGCGCTCACGTTAAGATGACTTTAGATGTGTGCGCTCTGCTTGTCACAATGTGCGAATGAGACCAAATGCTGACCGCATGCTTCTGACTGTGTCTGCGCGCCGCACACACGCACACACACACATACACACATAAGTATGTGGTCTTTTGCGCTTTGAAGAGCGACAAATGTGTTCTGAAAAGGGGGCGGTAAATAATGGAATAATCATTTATCTTGATTAATGTTTTTTCATAACTATTAGAAGCCGAAATCGAAATCGGATTTTCGATTAATTGCATAGCCCTACTTATAGGGCAAATAAAAAGTTATGATATATGATGTCAAGATTGTTGTTGTTCACTTTTACTTTAACATGTTCAATTCAGCCAGCAGTCAAATTTTACATTCACATTTTTATACAAATCTTAATATGCATATGAGGAAAATCTATTAATGAGACCATTTGAATCGAATATTAGCAAAATGATCATATTTACACCACTAGCCTAATGTGTAAACCATGGAAATGTGTTTGTACAACACAATACAGGTGGTTTAAAATGAATTATATTCAAATATTGAATATTTTCAAAAATAGAGCTTTAGTAACAATTGAGCACATATATTTCAATGTTTAAATCAGCCCCAAAAATAATCTGTATGTGTGTTACTCTCGACTGCGCGTGAAGAGAAACTGAAAGTAACCCAAACATGTAGTAGACTACTTTAAAAGTCCACAAAGCACTTTTGTTTGATTCTGGATTTATTATTACTGCACAATCTTGGCCTTATGAGTAGATTACTTGCGACATGGGGTGATGTGATGTTGTAGAGTGAACATTTACAATAAATTATTATAATAGTTGCTTAGTTGTAGACAGTCAGTAAACAAACTTATAGGGCAAATAAAAATATGCATATGATGTCCAGATTGTTGTGATTATTTTCAAACTCATTTTAACTGTAATTTACAGTGATGTTTACTACTAATATATTCTGTAGCTTTTTGAGCAGCTGTTATATGAAGGATGCTTTTGCACTTTGCTTATAAAAAAAAAAAAAACATTAGTTATTAGGTACAGAGCTTCCTCTAGTAATTTCCACCACAAAAGAAGCATTTATGAGCAGAGCAAAAATAGGGCCTAATTATGTGTTCTTCAGCAAACTATAGAGACTTTGTCTAAGTACGAAAGCATTTTCTATGATTGCAAGCATAGGAGGGATTTGCGACTTAATGTAATGCTTTTCTTTTTTGTTCATTTCTGCTTTTAACATACCTACATTTACACAACCAGCGTCCAAGTGTTGTTTTGCTTTTATGACCCTTTTAACCAAAGGACCAACCTCTTTAAAGCAAACGACACATAGCATCAAATAGAGGTTTGGGGGCGTCTGGCGGAGCATAATGTTTATCTTTAACCATTCAGATATTTGTGTTAGAGTGTGGTTCTGGCTGCGCTTGCTGTTAAATTATGAAAACGACTGAAATATTATGTAACTAGCTTTTAAAGTGGTTGAGTTTTCACCTTTGAGAATTTGTGAAAAAATAGCATCATTACATTGCATGGCTTGAGAAAAATAATTTTGACTTTTTATTTTTTTCTTATTTTTCAGAAAACTACTGGGAAAATTCCAGAGCAGCAGACGGTAAGAGTGAAATCATTCAGTTAAATTTACATTGAATTATCACCTCTGAATAAAATAGCATACACAAGTAAAGGTACTGTAATTGCTGGTTTATTTTACAGTTTTGACTTTATTTCTCTTATTATTAAGATAAAAAAATCAAGAACTGTGAATCAAACCTAAATGTGCAGAACAAAATTTTAGAATTACATTAAGATGACAGAATTCTGAGTTTTCATATCAATATTGTAGGATTACTACTTTGTTATTTACAATTAATTTTTTGCTATCCAGACAGTCTAGAGCAGAGATGTCCACATTAGTGGCCAAAGTAGGCCAAAGTTAGCCTATGGTAACCCATGGTAAGCCCATTGATTTGGCCCACCGTCCCATCTAAGAAGAGAGGGAGAATGATGGGGATGGTTTAGAGCAGGGGTCTCAAACTCGCGGCCCGCGGGCCATTTGCGGCCCTCAGTGCAATATTTTGTGGCCCGCACCAACCACTGTACACTGACAGAATATGCGGAGCGGGGAGAGAGAGCGCTCCCCGCTCCGCTGATTCTATCCGTACACAGCGGTCACTGGCATTCCCCGCCCGCCGTGTAAACAAAGGGGCGGGGATGCCGGTGACGTCACCTCGCACCCCGCCCCTTTGTTAGACGCTGTGACGGGCGGGAAGGAGGGAACTCGCGCCGGCCAGAACCAAGGTAAGCTGTTCCCGCCCCTGCCTGCCACTTAGCTACCTATCTGCAGCCTGCCACCTACCTAGCTACAGCCTGCATCTGATATATATTATAGGTAGATACAGACTGGTACAGACTGATGTGACTGGAGTGGGGTGGGGGTGTTTTATTTATACATATATACGCCTTTTTTTAGGTGAGGGCAGGCACGTGCACACATAGGGCTCAACCTGTGCAGTGCACATGCCCTTTTTAGTCTTGGATAGAAAGTGCCCTTCCAAAATGATCAAAAGTGCCCCCGCGACGCGGCACACCTTCGGTCCCGCCCTTCAGTAGGCACGCGACAACACCGCTCTTGAGTACGCGCGCGACAACACAGCTGATCAGTACGCGCGCGACAACACAGCTGATCAGTACGCGCGCGACAACACAGCTGATCAGTACGCGCGCGACAACACAGCTGATCAGTACGCGCGCGACAACACAGCTGATCAGTACGCGCGCGACAACACAGCTGATCAGTACGCGCGCGACAACACAGCTGATCAGTACGCGCGCGACAACACAGCTGATCAGTACGCGCGCGACAACACAGCTGATCAGTACGCGCGCGACAACACAGCTGATCAGTACGCGCGCGACAACACAGCTGATCAGTACGCGCGCGACAACACCGCTCTTCAGTACGCGCGCGACAACACCGCTCTTCAGTACGCGCATCCACTCTGCAGTGGGTGAGGGAATGGAAGTTTTGATTGAGTTCCCCAAAGCCATACTGAGGGTCTCAACTGCTTCCGCTCTAAAGCCAAATGTGGTTCAGATTTGTGAGAAGAAGCGCTGTCAAGTCTCTGGCAGCAAGGAGTAGGCAAAAGATGCCATGTTCAGAAGAACTGTTCATAATCTTCACTCAATGTTCTATTAATGTTCAGGACACTTCATGTTCAGAAGAAATAATTAAAACTGTTAATAATGACATTTGAGGACTTTTTTTTTGTGAAATCCCTTATGCGGCCCAGCCTCACCCAGACTTTGCCTCCTGCGGCCCCCAGGTAAATTGAGTTTGAGACCCCTGGTTTAGAGACATCATTTCTAATGTAATGTAATTTTTTTTGTTTGTTTGTTTGTTTTATTCCTAAGCTACAAAAAGCGAATGCCAATTAAATGCTTCAATTAAATTAGTCATTGTTTTTAAGTATACATAATGTAAATCATCTGACTGATAAGGGACAATCCAGAGATATCAGTGAGCAAACGGAGAAAAAGGCAGATTCTAATTTAATTCTGTTTGATTAATGTATTTAGCATTGAACTCCACTGTGCTATAAATGTGATCATTTACATTTTTTATTGTTATAAGTTATAAAGTAAGTAATACCAAATATATACTGCATTACAATTTTAAGAGCCATGAAACCCAATTATTCTCAACTGTAGTTGGAAAAAAACTGGGGAGTGGGTGAGTCTAACTTTGTTTAGGTGAGAGTGTCGAGTGGCAAAAAAGGGAAGGGTTAGCATGGAAAGGGGAGTTTCAGTATGTGCACAACACCTGATTTTCACATAGGTAACACAAATACAGACACAGGGGAGATGGACAGTGATTCGGAGAGCAGCATTCACAGCAGATCTGAGAGCTGTGTGGAAGTGGAGGATTTTCAGTCCATAATATTGTATTGATATTTCTGTAAACTTAGTAACTAAATTATTTTGACTAAGGTATGTCTTTAAAAACTGAAAGAGTACTGCTGATGATGCTATCTAACTTTGCCATCTGAATAAACGTAAACAAAGGAAATTGATCACTCACTTAATAAATCCATAGAGACAGGTCAATCAACACGAACTAGAACTGCATCTTTATCTAAAAGGTGATGATTGGCAAATCCAGCTTTCACCATTCCTAAATTCAAAAAGCTCTCAGGTAAAAAAATGTTCCTTACAGACATATTTTTGTCGCATGTTAGCAGACCACTGTAATCCATACATGCAGATCTACACGTGATCGGTGCTCTCATCGTGGGTCTTTGGCTCTCATCAAGTCTTTGTTTGATAACTCATGTCTCCGAACAATTCTTCTACTAATTGTTCGACAACACAATATGGCATCTCTCTGAACACTGTAACAGGTAAAAGGATTCCTTGAAGTTGTATCATGCATATTAATGAAGTTGAATCTCGTTCACAATAGTGCTTACTGATTTGTTCATACCAAGTCATTCTCATGAATTAATAAACAGATGTGCTGAAGACTCAATGACGTCACTTTGTACCGTAACTTTGTTTTTGTTTTTTTTAAACCGGAAGAATGAATTTGAATTTGCTCTCTTAATGGTCAGCTAAATTTAAGCTGTCAGCTAAGTTTCCTAATAGTGTTTTAGCAACGTGGCACATGTATATGACTGTCAACATCCCAAAAAATGTGTTTTGGTGTTTCATGAACCTTTAATATTTCTAATTTATTTCTTAAATATTATCGAATAAGTCAGGAAATTACCTTTGGCAGCTTTAATGTAAGATAAATTGGTATATTTACCTTCGGCCCATGGGACTCAATGATATTTAGTTTTTGGCCCTTCATACAAAAAAGTTTGGCCACCCCTGATCTAGAGTTTACATTGTGAAAATTTTTTAATTATGAATTTTTATCTCTGAAATTCAACTTTATCTCTTAAAATTATTATTATTATTATTATTATTATTATTATTAATAATAATACTACTAATAATAATAATAATAATGATACATTTTAATTATGATGCACTTTTCTTAAACTTAAAGTGCTACAAGAAATACAATAACAAATAATAATGCAGAGAATACCAAGCTTGCCTACAGTAAAATCTCAATAAGAAGCCAGAAGTCATATCACAATGATAAATCTTTAGAAAAATTGTGAGTTTAATGGTTTTCTTGCCGTTTTGATCTTTAGGAGTGTATATTTTAGCTTTTCTTATGGCATGTATAAACAAAAAATCTGACTCAAGTTGAGGCGCCTGGAAAAGAAAAGAACTTGATGGCTCAATGCGGTAGGCAGCACTTTTCTTGTCAGTCTAACAAAAGCATCGCACTGCCTTGTGATAAAAGGTCAGCAGGAAAATCTTTATCACTATCAAGCATCCATCGTAAAGTACTGTTTTCATTTAGCTCCCAGACAAAGACGATGCTCCATGCAACCAACATCATACAGCGTAACCAACCATCATCTCAATCTTTTTAATTGTTGATTTTGCTTCATAGAGGAAAAATCGTGGTCTCTAAGTAGCTGTCCAGGGTGCTAAATCAATGCAAAGACATCGCTCAATAGAAGCTAACCTCCCCTCCTTTCTAAAAAGAGACCTCTGTGTGTGAGAGATGTGCTGCACAAAAAGACAATCAAGGCAAAATAAAAAATACCTCCTCAAGCCAGTCACACTTAAAGGAACACCTCTTTCCAAGCAAGCGCTGTTAAGTGGTCTACGCCAGAGAAAAACAATAGCAGGCTGTGTGTGATAACAGATAGAGAGGAAGTGTAAATATGCCGCAGTGTGAATGAAATCAATGGAGCCCACTGCTTTTTCTAAGTCTTGCTAATGCACTCAGCCTCATAAAGGATCTTTATGAGACCCACACTGGGGCGCTTTGTCAGGTTTTGATAATGTCTCAGAGACACCGATGACTGTTATGTCTTCTGGTAAAGAGCAGGGCCCAGATGAAAAATGAAATGGGAAAATTAGTGGCTGCCTCCAAAGGGAAATGGTAGAAATTGGATATTCCACACAGCAGGCTACACTACTGTTCAAAAGATCTTTGTATTATTTTTGTAAGTCACTTATTCTTACAAATGATACATTTATTTGATTGATATCTTCAACAAAAACAAAAGAAAAATGTTTAATGCTGTGGTGCTTTTCACATGAATCACTATAACTTTTTTCAATAGACTACATGCACAGCTAGTGTTTTTCAGCCAATGATGAACTTTCGGTGAAAGCTTTACGTGACTTTTCAATTTCATAAGGTTCCTTTTACAGCATCAATGTTGTAATGTAATTCAAATATAATCAGTTAAATAGACTTAAGCATCTATTTGGTCGTTAAAGCGTAAAGAGACGAACAACCTGAACGCAGGCACCGTCAACACGCATTTCTGAACGAGCAGAAATTCCATTGAAATTACTGGGGTAAAATTAATTTCAATATTTTAAAGACATGACGTGGAAAAATAAAATGTATTGCAGTGCTTCTTGTTTGGTCTGATACCCACTTTATATTGCATCTCAGCCTGGCAGTGAAGATTGCTGTTTTTTTTTAAAGAAATCAGATCTTAAACACAGCAATTTTGTATGGAATGACAATTAACT